AAAAATAACAACATTAAAATATAGTATAATATCTCATAGGCTAACAACAAAGTGGCAAAATTATCTGTTTAATAAAGTATGAAAACACATATTGCTAAATAATGAACTAAAAGGTTAGCAAGACATACTGTGCAAGCAAATTATTTTTACAACAATAGAAAACGAGAGCTGTCAATACGACAGAATGCTCGACTATTCTCAATGCCTGATAGTAATACATACCAGAGCCGGGATAGGGCAAAATTTCAAAAAGGGTCATAATTCTGTCTAAATCAACATTAATGTTATGGACTTTGGCCATTGATTTGCTATTGTGCTATTAAATAAGTGTGTGAAGTTTCAAACAATTCCTTTCAGTAATTTTGGAGATTCCAACATCCATGCAAAACCCTTAACCAAAGTGTTATACTGATGCATGCCGGCCGTTCAAAAAAAATCTCCCTATTCTTCGAATAGTCAAGCTAAAAATGCATAGTAAAAATAATAATGCTTTAAGCATAATTATTTTGCCTGGATAAATGGATATATCACAGTTATCTATATAATTAATTCATATAAACAATTCATATAATCATATTAGTCATATTTTATAAAATATTTTAAACTATGCAGAAGCAATACTAGTATTTGGCTGAAAGGGCTTTAATTTTGATTAAATACACTCCTCCCAATAATAGTTAATCATGGATTCCATCTAATGAACTATCCCCGACGATAATTCAATATTATTTGCAATCCAATAAACTATCCCAATCAAAATACATCATAGATTTCCTCTAAATAAACTGTATGATAATTTTGGGTTTCCTCTAAAAGACTATCCCCTACAATAATTTTTTTCGATATCATTTTTGATCTAAAATACTCTTTCTAAATCACAATTAATCATGATTTTCATCTAATGAACTTTCTAAATCATTTGTTACATCAATCATTTCACTTTTTAACATCAACATTTGTCACATCTTCTGTCAACGGGTCGTCTGTTTTCTTTTTTAACTTTGTCAAAATTTCTAATGAACGATGAGCATGTAACCTAGAAACTTCAACAAAATTTGGATCGTGAGTAAACCACATGGCTATAGCACATCTCTGTCCTTTCACTACAGCTTTTACACCGTGATAATCACCAGCGTTGAAGGCCATGAATCTTCCACATTGAGGTTTCATTGATATCTAAAATAACAAATAACTTATATCTCACTAGTCAAATGGAGTTTTAAGGGATTTCTTTAGGAACAAGACAATTATTTAATTGGGACAAGATATATAAAATAGCAACAATATATGTAAAATGGGAACAATATATCTAAAATGGGACAAATATATGTATCACAGTACAAGCTATGTAAAATGTAAAAAGAATATAAAATGGAAACAAGATTTGTAAAATGGAAACAAGATATGATACATGGGAACAAGATAAGATAAATGGGGACCAGATATGTTACCTGAAATAAGACTGCAAAATGGGGACAAGAAATGTCCCTTCAACAACAATGCTTTAATTCCTTACTTGTAACAAGAACCAAGTTACAGGGAAATTATATCTTAATGCATAAATGATTTAGATAACAAGTAATTCCAATAACCTTAATACAGACATTGTGAGCTTCAGATCACTCATCTCTTTGAAGATCTATAGTTTTACCTTATGCTAGAAAAATGTCCGAAATTCGGAAATAATGCATCTGAGGTCCACGCCCAACAATAAAGTTGAAAAGGAACATCAACCTTAATTGTACTGCAGTAACTGAAAAACTAGCTGCAAATATGTGAGTCATATAAGGAAATTGATTTTTTATTATCATTATTATCATTTTCCCTAGAATTATCATTATATTTTTCCTAAAACTATCATCATTTTATCTAGCTTCCCTATGGTATAGCTTATGAGAATCAAAGATGATTTTTTTCCTAGAATTATCACCATTTCCCCCCCAGGAATTATCATCATTTTTATCTAGCTACTCTCCCTTGTCCACCTTCAAAGTTGTCATTAAGATATAAAACTCCACTGCAATGAAAGAAACATAATGATTGGAAATTAACATTCCAATATAATTAATATACACGTTTTTTATTTATTTACCCCCAAGTCTTTTTGCGGTGACAGACCCCTACCCATGCAAGCAGTTAAGACCAAGACTAGCTGCCACATGTCTGATCATAGTCTGCCGTGTTTCTCATTCAGTACTTATGTTAAAAATGTCCCTAAAAGTGATGAATGATTCTGTCCAGATTGAAATATGGACAAGCCTAATTCTGATATTTATGTGGTGAAGAATTAAAACATCTCATTCTGTTTTAAAGAAGCACAAGCTTTACATCCATGCTTTTTTTCATTATTAAGAAAGGCTAGTGTATTGTGATGAAATAATGCAAGCTTTACACCTTCTTTGTTTATTTAGGAAAATCTCAGATAGTGTTGGAAAGCGTAAGGTACAAAAAAGAGCATGAAATTCAAACCTTTGATTATTTATTGATTTTTGTTTTTGTTTGCTTGTTTCATTTTACGCCTTTTTCCAAAAGTATTTCAGTCATATAGGCGGGTAGTTTCCTAACCATCGTTCCGATTATTTATTGAAGAATTACAATGTTAGAACTACCTATAATGTCTCTGTACATATGCAAAGGCATCAGGAATGCAGACAAGGTGCGTATAATCAAAGTACAGTGGCCGCGTCAAGTTCAGGTACTTTTCTACAAGTAGTCTCGAATGTTCACTGGCATCGAGAAATAAATGTAACGTCTCTGGTGACACTGTTCTCTCTTTAACCAACTGTTATATCAGGAATTTAGTCATTCACACGTCTTAATAATTTCCATATTGTTTAAAAAGATACTTTTTTTATATAGAGGATATTTGTTTGTTTTGCATGTAAGATCGAAATATAATTTCACTGAGTGAACACCAGATGCAATATTTTCACGAGTGGCGTAGCCACGAGTGAAAATATAATAGCTGGTGTTCACGAATGAAATATATTTCAATCTTATATGTAAAACAAATAAATTTTCTTTTTATTTCATGCGTTTTAAGTGATTTTAAGTAATTTTTACTGATTTTGCCGCGTAACGTCGCGCATTCTCCTTTGTGACGTCATCACATCATGACGTCACATCATCAATTTTGAAATATAGTTCTGTTAAATTTCTCTAATTTTGTTACATTTTCAACATGATGTATAGTGACATCGACTTTCTTTTCCTAAAGAAGCAAAATTTACGCATGACGGCATTTATTTCTGCCTGTTATTCCATTTAGTTATGATTTTCTTTTCATCCGCATTCAGATATAGTCCGGCTACAGTGAAAATTATATTTTATAAATTTCACTAGTGGTTTATCAGAATATAATCATCTGATATATTACAATAAAACACTGGAAAGCATGAAATAAATATTGGGTCTTATCGTTTCATGTATTTTTTTTCTTTTTACAGGGGATCATACACATGGGTATCTTATTGGAAAATACATTATATGATCATGGGAAATAAATTCAATACCTAATAAAAAGCAAAGTGAAGCTTATCAAAACTGTACAAATTTATGTGAAACAAAACATGAAGCTTATCAAACTTATACATTTTTTTCTTATACATCCAAACATACTTGCTAAATACCGCAAAATCATTATTATTCATGGGGCACTGACTTATTTGCTTTTCGTTAAGATTCAACATTAAATTTTCATTTTATCTGCCATATGATTATTTTGCATTACATTATTTATATTTTACCTTTTGGAAAATTAGACAGACTTAGGAGCCCACGAAAATATTGTTTGTGACAAAACCATGAAATTTTATGTCCACGGAATTAAGTGAGTTAACAGTACTCGGTCTTGTGACAATATGAGAGATATAATAACAACAAACTATATACAGAGATAAAGGATATTTTTATACTCGGGAGGGTTTGTTTAGTTTATCCAAATCTTCAATTTTCAGAAGAAACAAAATTTACGGTAAAATTATATTAAAATAACAAAATTTCCTAGATGGCACATGACTGTTAAAAATATATGCATGTAATGTTTAAATATACACTTATATAAACACAGTACTTTATTAGTTAACAATTCATTCCCTAAAATTCAGACTTCAATTGAGTCAATCAAATTTAAACCTTTTCTTAGTAACAAGACATTTTCTGGAATTTCTAATTTCATTTTTTCATATAACTGTAGCAAATTAAAACTTTACCCTTAATTAACTCGGGAAAAAATAGCTTAAGGTCAATTCAACCTGTTAGAAGGTCTTGTCCAACAATGTGTTTTGGACATGTATCAAGATAATCCATTTATTATTAAACAAGCTATAGCAAAAATCAGTGAAAGTTGATTCACTTAAATTCAATGTCAAGGCCGAATTGATATTGCTGTATCATTTGAGATCGCGCCAACAGCATCATTATAAGTGGCATATTCTTTAAAGTGATATCTTTTTAAGAGGAGTTTACTGTACAGTTATTTATCTCTATTAGCATGATTGTACATGCAATAGTGTTAAAATAATTTTGAAAAATAATTTCTTTATTGGTTAAATAGATAGTACTTAATATTTCTATTTATATATAGAGTCTATTTTTCTTTTAACAGGGGAAATAATCAGAAATAAATTTTACAACAGGAAGAGGAAGTCAATTAATTTTTTACCCTTTCATATTTTCATTCAAACCCAAAAGAGGAAGTAAAACTAGTACAAAGTCCTGCTTATAATCTTGTTAAACAGAAAGTAAATACAATTGCTCGATTATTTTTACTTAATAGTATCAAATCCAACTTTCAAAGTAAGTTTACAATTTATCTTTTAGCACATAATTTTATACTAAAATAAATACATTATTATATTAGAATATATATCTATTAAGACTTATAGTGTCCTTTATTTTTCTTTTAACAAGGGAAATAATCAAATTTAATTTTACAACAGGACGCGGAAGTGAGTTATTTCCCCTTCATGTTTTCTCATTCAAAACCAAAAGAGGAAGTAAAAATAGTAAAGTTTCCAACTTTCTATTTTGTCAAACAGAAAGTCAATACAATTACTTGATAATTTTTATCAAATAGTATCAAATCCAATTTTTAAAGTAAGTTTAAATTTCATCTTTATACACATAATTTTACGTTATCATATAAGAAAGTATTTAAATGGAATATTATTAGTTTAGTTTGTGCTTGATTAAAGTATTTCCCGAGTAACGTTTCTGTTTCAAGTTACGATTTAATATGATTGAAATTTCAAAAAACATAAAATACCTAAAATTGCTTACAGCTTTTAAACGGACATGATTCTGTAAAATTAGATTACAATTAAAAACAGTCAAATTACGTTATTTTAAGGGACATTATCAATTCAATTAATTATTGATAAATATTTAAAAATGAGTTATTGATCATCTATATTGTTTGTTTACAAACAAACATCGAAGTAAGATAAAAAAATTATGAATTTATACTGAATAAAGTTGTAAATCAAAACACAGTAGAAGAAAAAATGCATCATAATTATCAGAAATTTTTAGTAAGTTACAGTTTGCCATGATTAAATTTAAACAATAAAAATTGAGAAAACAAAACCTACTAAAATTCTGATTGACATCAACATTTTCACGTAATAATGATAAGAAAATATCAAAACAAATTGATGAAAGAAACAAATAAAGAGACTGAAATAATCTACATGTATGAAATATTATTTTTTTAACTGATATCTACCTCAAAGTATACAAAATGTCATAATATCAGAAATGGCTATCCTGTTTTGTTCTATGGAATCAAGGACAAAATTAAGAAAGTAACAAGTAGAAGAATATGACGTTAGTGAGTGACTATAACTATTTTTCCTTTTACTTATATATTACAGAATGTTTCAAGAACCTGACTACAGAGAAAACCTATCATTGATGTTATCAGAGGTTTTACATGATATTGGTGTCAATGAAAGAATGGTGATGAGAAGGAGAAGACATTGCATGCTAAGAGAGACTATGAGGATTATCAGGTGCAGGTTAACTGATAACAATGTGACTACATATTATCTAGGGAGTCAAAGTGAAGGTACAACTACTAAAGGACTTGATTCAGACCTTGATTCACTACTCTTAAATCATGATTGCAATATAATACAAGACTGGTCAGAGTGGGAATGTGGCAAGGAAAACTATCTCATGATACAGGATGAGAACACTACCCCTGGTTATTGTTTCCTACAACTGCTTCTATCTGATGAACCTATTCCTGCCACTGTCATTCCTGATGAACACCATATAAATGATAGAAGTGGACGAATTTTGTTGAAAAACACAAGCTTTAATGATTTAATTCAGGGTGCTGTAAATCACGGACCATCAAATGCTACCCAAGGACAACATGGATTCTGTGATAGTGACCATGTGTTAGCTTATCCTTGTAAATCATGGCCTCAATCAGCATCAGGTTGGTTAGAGAGACAAGGTATTGGTAGATGGCCAACACAAGACATGAAAAGTTACGCAGCCTATACTGAATGTTTTGTTGTTCCAACTGGAAGTAAGGTTAGTGAATATCCAGAACTGGAATGGAGAATATCTACATCCCTGGCAGAAAGGTGCCTTATACTTAATCTAAATATAACACAAATAAGGTGCTATGTATTACTGAAAATGATTCTGAAATCCCTCCTTAATCCTCAAGATGAAATCAATGTATCAAGTTTCATGTGTAAAACAGTACTATTACATTGTATAGAACACACAGAGCAAAGTATATGGAAAAACAACAATTTATTAACATGTTTAACATATTGCTTACTGGAATTACACACCTGTGTACAGAATGACTGTTGTTCACATTTCATTATCGAAGAAAACAATTTGATGGCAGGGCAATTTACATCTGAAAAGAAACTTGAACTTTCAAAAACTATAACTGAATTGATACAGAGTGATGGAAACGGGTTACTTAGAATAAATATCGATGATCTTGGTCAAAGACTGCAGGTTAAACTGAACATGGTACTACATGGAGACTACAATTTTCCGACTTTACTTGAAATACATCAACATATAATGACCGGAGGATATATAAACATTGCAGCTGGAACAAGTCATTGTCATAAGCTTGTTTTAAACTATTTTAACAATAAAAGCATTATGACAATGAAGCAATCTGTTAGTAAACTTATGATCTTCAGAAATAATGGTAAAAGATTACAGCAGGCTGCATTCAAGCTTCTAGCACCTTTTATTTTTACAACATATGGATCTGTTCTGGCATCTTCCAGCATTGGTGAAAATAATCAAGTGTCACCTGAAGCATGCGTATGGCTGTCAGCTGGTTTAAACTCTGATATCTCATCTAGCAGACTTAAACTGGCTTCAGTGTTCTACAGTACAGGAGATATGGAGAGAGCTGAACTAATTCTGAGACACACTGAACAACAATATTACTCTTATCCTGTTTTACCTTTCTGTAACTGCTGTCGTGCAGCTCGACCAGCAGTATCAGCAGAATTCATGAGGGTTTGTAGTGAGCAAAGTGAGAACTGTATCAAACATATTACAGCATTTTGTGTCAGATTTATACAGAAAGAGATCAACTGTGTTCCTCGTGAACTACAATATGAAATGTTCAGATCTACACAAGATGACATGATACACAGACATCAGTTAGACTATTGGATGGACTGGGCTGTAGTTGACTCTTTACCTTTCCTATACTTTCTCCAATACAAGATCTACAGGCACCAACAAAGGCATCAAGATCAACAACAAGCACTTAGTAAATTTATAAGAACCATAGAAATTGATGAAAACCTAAGTACGCATAGAGAAACAGCTCTTAACATTTTAGGGCAATGTATGGAACAAGAAAACAAACCTCAACAAGCATTAAAATGCTACCTGCTTTCTTTTCAACTAAGGGCAAGAAATAACGCAGCAAAATTCCATATATGTAAGCTCCTTTCTAGGGTATTGGCTGGCCAATAAAAATTTGGTCAAAGGCAGACAGTATTTAGACTTGAAAATTTCTATTGATCAAAATCATAATTCTTTTGTGTACCAAATAATTATATGTGTTTGTATAATTTTGTTTGTTACATTTTATTTTCACATAATATTATAAAATTGAGGGTCAATGCTTAAAGAACATCTTTAACAAAGGACCACTGCTCATCAAAATATTTTTTGTCTTTGGTGCAGATTGATCCATCTGCCTGCTTAGCCACAAATAGCAGCTTTGGCTAGTACAGACCACATACATTTCACCAGTCTTGTCCTTAAAAAGACAAAAAGCTCATTTCACTATTAAGTTGAGTTGATATTAGTGATACAATTAGTTCAAAGGTGATTGTCTATCAGAATGATGACTGACACATAAATGATAGTGAAACATGCTTATAATACAAATAAATCAAGGGCCACCGCCGAGCAGGGGCAACACTTGATTATTTTTTTTACTTTTTCTAAAAACAAACTTATAATCAATAAACGATATAAACACATCTATAAAAAGAGAATTAAAGATTTTTTTTATCTTTTTTATTTTAATAGGTTTGTCTAATCACACTTGCTGTTTTATCAAAGTATAAATCATTTTCATTATAAAATTTAGAAAATCAGAAAAGTTTATTAAAATTCAATCATCTGACCTTGATGGTCAAGGTTGTTTAAAGAACTAGGTCATATCTTATTCATTCAATATGTCCGTTTGGTCACAAGTAATGTCTTTTTCACTTACAAATCAAATCGGTACAAAATTAACAATATAATGACCATATTACAAAAATTGAATAATTTAACCTTCATGTTCAAGCTCATTCATGAGTGAAAGCCAATTTTGAGTTTAATTAAAGAGACTCCACTGATGTTTAAAAGCCTAAAACATAACATTTGAATTTCTTACATAAATGAGATGGGGCACTTTAAACAGAAATACATGTATATGCAAGACAGTTAAGAAATATGCTTTGAAATAAATTAAAAATCGTATCTTTATGCTTTTCTTAGCTCGATTTGAGTGGAAAGTGTTTAAACGCTTTTCATTTTTGGTCATTTTTTTACAATTTGAATAATTATTTTTGAAATACGAAGTGCGAGAATGATCTGAAATTTTGCACAAAGATTAGTGGTCTAAACCTACATCAAATGGTACAATTATCTGGAAAAAATATTTCCAGTCACATCATGTCAAAAAACCTCAGTGGAGTACCTTTAATATACATGAAGGTCATGACCTTAAAGATCATGTGTCTAAGTTCATCCATTCATAAATAACCAAATTGATAGCAAGTAACAGGAAACAGTTCGAGTCAAGAGGATTTCACTAATTTGCTTTGATGGTCGAAGTCAATTAAAGGTCAAGGTCATATCTAAATTATTTTAAATGTTTGTTTGGTAGCAAGCATGTTTTATACATTGAGATTATTCAAGGTCAGTCCAACCTTTTAAAAGGTCCTGTATAAAAGTTTTCAAGTATGAAAATAACCAATTAATTAATTGACCAGACGCCAAACAGCTTATTTAAAAGAGAACACAATGATATATTTATAGATATATTATTTTAAAGGAAAGACTTTTGAAAAAATGCGTTTCTCCCTGTCTTATAAGCTGTGTTAATCGCCTTAATTATGATCATTTTAAAGGAAAGTTCTAAGTTGAAGAATGCAGTTGGTAGATACTTGTAGGAAGCTTTATCTATCAAAGTTTTACAAGGCCTAGAAGACTTTGGAAGTCTGTGAATTTTTGTTCACATTTGTAGTGCATGTGTCTATATATGTCCCTTATTGTAGTCATTGTCCCCTTATAGAGGGAAAGATCCATAAATTTGCATGTAAAATACAGAATGATATAAACTAGTGTATAAAGTGCATGAAAGTATGAATGTATTAATTACTTATTTCAATTCCAATTTGTGGCGTACTAGGTTTTTACTAATGTAATTGCGTTAAGGTCTTCGAAATGTCTTAATATAAATTTACTGGAATACAAAATGATAAAAATAATCACCTGATATTGTTTGCGCCTTGTTAGTCTTTGTTTCTTCCAAGGTTGCACAGACAAATGCTGTTTGCTTTAATTAACCAATGGCAATAGTAAAGTTTAACAAATTCCAACATAATTCGTTTTAAATATAAAATGTGTTTATATTTTATTGTTCACACAGAGAAATGATAGTTACGTACAGCTTAACTATGATAATGAGAAAAAACAATAATAAAGCATTTAAAAAAATAACGAAGTTATAGCTACTAAAAGCAAATTCAATCAAAATTTAGACATTTGACCTTGAGGATCAAGATCATTTATAGTATATGAAGGCCAAGTTTAGTGTGTTCTACCTGATGCTCTTGTCCCTAGTGTTGTTGCGGCCAGGTTCGAAGACATTAATATACCAATGAGTAAAAAATGTTATGATAAACATTAAAGATTGTGGACGGGAAATAAATCCCCAACCTGACTGTATCAATACCTCTATTTTTCTTCCTCAAAAAGAAAGTCAAACTAAAACTCATGAAAGGGCCATAACTCAATATTCCTGTACAGATGAAATAACACCAGTGATATTTGGGAAGCCCCGGACATGTTTTTGACAAACGGACAGATGACAAAAACACTTCCCTACTCTTTTTTACCACTTGAACATTAGCACATGGATAATTTTTGTGGGTCACGCCAGTAATTGATTATTTTTGCAAAAATGAAAATATAAAATTGAACCAATTATGAAATAATATAGTTATTTTGACTTAACTTTTGGAGTTGGATGGGAAAAATGTCATTCAAAAATGTTGATAATGTTTAATAAAACATGCTTTATAAGACAGACATCAGACTATCCAAAATGCTGTGCTTTACAACAACATAAACCAGTGCTAAAATACATGTTTATCTGTTAGTGTTCAAATATAAAAGTACTTGAATTTATCTGTTAGTCACAAACTTTCATTCCATTCATTTGTTATCAGTGGTGTTACTTAAATCTAAAAAGGAAATTTTAAGACAAAGTAAAAATATAATAAAAATTATTTTTCCAGTTCAAAAGTTACAGGTTACATAATCATATATTTACATATTCAAAATTAAGCCTGCATAAAAAAGCAATATGAAATAAGAGTAAATGATACAATAATAACACTTAATAGTCAAATTTCTTTAAAAAAATCCATATATAGCAAGACATTTAAAAATAAGAATGAAACAAGAGCACCGCTAGGCGGAGCATTACATGCCCGAAAGTAATTTTTTTTAGTAAAGATGAAGCATTTGTAAGACATGGGAATTAAATAAAGTACTACCTCCTTCACAAAACAATCCTCCTTTGAAGTTTCAATATTGTGGTCCAAATGGAATTTTAGTTATGCCCCGGAAACTGTTTTCAGTTCTAAGGTAATAGTGACCTTGACCTTTGACCTTGTGACCCAAAAATCAATAGGGGCCTTCTACCCAATATGGACAATCATCCTATGAAGTTTGAAAACTGTGGGCCAAAAGGAACTTAAGTTATGCTCCGGAAACTGTTTTCAGTTTTAAGGTCATAGTGACATTGACCTTTGACATTGTGACCCCAAAATCAACAGGGGTCTTCTACTCAATATGGACAATCATCCTATGAAGTTTAAATACTGTGGGCCAAATGGAATTTAAGTTATACTCCGGAAACCAAATCGCTAACGGACGGACGGACAGACGGACGGACGCCAGGGGGTATAACATAATATGCCCGAAATTCTTTCGGGCATATAAAAAGTGAAAACGTTATCTCGAAGTCATCGGGACCGTCCTAAAAGTATCGAGATAACGTAATGTCGAGATAAACATATTAGGGTTTGAATAAGGCGGAAACTGATTTTTACAAAAGACATGTGCAAACCTTTATGTCAAATAAACTATGATATCCCCATGTATTGTTTCCATAGGCCTAGTCAAATTTAACAAAGTAACATAAGCGGATATTTACCAGCGGAAATACGGGTGTCTTTGATAAAAACACATAGTGAATACACCAATATAGTGAAAACTTTGTTTTCAGGGTGGTTGATCCGGATATACTCCCGGGTTTTATGTCGGGTCTCGAGATTGTTCGATCGCTGATTGATTGTTGGTGATGTTGTGAAACAATATTGCAACGATAGCGTTTCTATACTTTCACTATTTCATTTACTTTTAAAGTCATAATGAATTGATACAGTGTTCGAATTATTTATAAAGAACGTAAAATTCACTCATATTGGACATAAGTCAATCAACACGCTAAATAGATCAACTTTTATAAACACAGCTAAACGTTTTACAAACATACACGCGCTATTGAGCAATTATAGTCTAATTTATGTTTTTCACACGTCTTAAGGGAGCAGACGAAAGAAAAACTATTAGTCGAGATAAACAAAGGATTATAGTTTGAAAATAACTGTTGGGGCTAAAATTTTACATCGAGATACTGAAAAAATCGAAATAGAAATATCGAGATAAACAAATATTTCCAATATAGATAAAGAAGGAGGAGAATTGGGACTTTCAAAATTTCATCGAGATAACGAAATATCGAGAAAAGCGATGTCGAGATAACGATAGTTGACTAAAAAATTCAAAATGGATACAAGCAGATGTGAAAAAGTAGAGGGACAGTATAATATTTTATGTTGTTTAATTGTTTTATTTTTCTGGTTTTATGTCGATTTTAAGTCATTTTTGTCATATCTCAGGAATCGATCCTCAATACAAGCTTTCCTGGATAACTAACCAATAAGTTACCAATTTTCCCCTAGTGAACAACTACTAATCCACCATTATTTCTGAATCACGATGAGAGACGGATGTTAAAAATCAATTGAAAAATTTTGCCACTCCCGAGGATTAAACCAGCTTTCACATTATAACAATCTGATGCTCTCCCTATTAGACTAATTTTTTCTATTATCATCTTCTTTCATCTTTCTTATTCATCTTATGTCACACCAACATAACAAAGGTAAAACTATGACTAAGTGCTATTTTAGAGCATGTCTGTACCAGGCTGTCATACATCAGTACCTCAGTGTGTTTTATTTCAATCATTAGCAGGC